CTGCTGCTCCGAACCCCGGGGGCCCCTGGGGGGCCCCCCGGGGGCCCCATCCTCCTCCGCGGGCGAAGCGACCCCCCCCTCTAGACCCTGAGCCCCCCCAGCCTCCTCTGCATCAGCAACCAAGCCCCAAACAACCATAAACCCTAAACACTAAACCCTAACTCATGCATGCATGTATGGACGCACCAAAACCACCAGTAGCAACGGCAGCAGCAACAGCAGCAGCAACAGCAGCAGGAGCAGAAGCAGCTGGATCAGCAGCAGCACCAACAGCAGTATCAGTACCAGCAGCAGTAGCATCAGCAACAGCAGCAGCAGCAGTAGCATCAGCAGCAGCAACAGCAGCAGCAACAGCAGCAGCAGCAGCAGTATGTGGTGTATGATATAGACGGACTGTCTGCTGCTGCTGCTGCTGCTGCTGTTTGTTCCTCTGAGTGCTGCGTTGGCTTTCTCTACGCTGCTGTAGAAAATTTGTGGGGTGATGTCTTGGGCCCTTCCTGTTGCAGCAGAGGAGACAACTGTCTCCGTTCCCTTCAGGTGCTGGGATCGTATCCAGCTCCGGGGACCGTCTCCTTTGCTGCTGCTGCTGCTGCTGCGGGTTGCTGCTACAGCAGCAGCTAGCACGCTGCTGCTGAGGAGACAACACACACAGACAGCAGGCAACACCAGGAGACAGACCATTCTCACTGTCTCCTTCTGTCTCTTCTCTGCTGCTGCTGCTGCTGCTGCTGCTGCTGCTGTTGCTGCTGCTGCTGCTGCTGCTGTCTCTGTCTCTGTCTACGGCAACAATGGTGAGACAGGAGGAGACAGAAGGAGACAGAAGGAGACAGAAAGAGACAAAGGGAGTCGATACAAGAGATAAGAGAAACAAAAGGAGACAAAAGGAGACAAAAGGAGACAAAAGGAGACAAAAGAAACGCGGAGACAAAAGACAAAAGGAGACAATAGGAGACGGACGGAGACAGACGCAGACAGAAAAAGACAAACGGAGACAAAAGGAGACAGAAAAGGAGACGGAGTGAGACAGAAGGAGACAAAAGGAGACAGAAGGATAAAACAAGAGACAGAAGACAAAAGGAGACAAAAGGCGACAGAAGGAGACAGGAGGAGACAAAAGGAGACAGAAGGAGACAAAAGGAGACAGAAGGAGACAAAAGGAGACACGAGAGGAGACAGAAGGAGACAGAAGGAGACAAAAGGAGACAGAAGGAGACAGAAGGAGACAGAAGGAGACAAAAGGGGACAGGCGGAGACAGACAAAGCAGCGAAGGGTGTATGGAGATAGACGCAGGGCGGCTCGGCCTCCTCCAGGGCGTTGATCGTCTCCAGCACCTTACACACTGTCTCCTCGTGCTCCTGCAGCAGCAGCAGCAGCAGCAGCAGCAGCAACAACAGCAGCAGCAGCAACAGCAGCAGCATAAGGACCATCACTAGCATCATCATCATCATCATCATCATCATCAGCATCATCATCACCACCAGCAGCAGCACGAGCAGCAGCAGCAGGAGCAGCAGCAGGAGCAGCAGCAGCAGGAGCAGCAGCAGCAGCAGCAGCACCAGCAGCAGCAGCAGCAGCAGCAGCAGCAGTATCCGCACATCTGTGTGTACAGCCCGCAGAAAGGCCTGTATAGTGACGTTGGCTCTGAGGAGAATAATTTGTCTCCTTTTTTTGTAGTCAGAGTTTAAGGAGACACATAGGCGACGGAGACAGCAGGAGACACTGCTGCTGCTGCTGCTGCTGCTGCTGCTGCTGCTGCTGCTGCTGTTGCCTGTCTCCTCGCTGCTGCTTACCCAACCCCCCCGAAGCAGCAAGCCACACCCCACACAGGATAATGCAGGCTGCAGCAGCACACACACACACAGACACAGCAGCAGCAACTGATGCAAATGCTGCTCCTGCTGCTCCTACTGCTGCTGCTGCTGCTGCTGATGCTGTTGCTGCTGCTGCTGCTGCTGCTGCTGCTGCTGTTGATGGACATTCAGGAGGAGGTTTCTTGAGGCCTTTGCGGGGCCACCAGGCTGTACACATTCGGCCTCTCGTCTCTTCCCTTTCTGTTTCTGTCTCCTTCTGTCTCTGTTTGTCTCTGTTTGTCTCTGTCTCTGTTTCTTTCTCTCTTTGTTTGTCTCTGTCTCTTTCGCTGTCTCCTTCTGTCTGTCTCTTTCTGTCTCTGTCTCTCTCTGTCTCTTCCACTGTCTGTCTCTGTCTCTTTCTCTATACCTCCGTCTTCCTATAACTTTATATATATATATATATATATATATATATATATATATACATATAT